AGAAAACCTTGATCGGTTGATTGCGTCTGTTACGCGATGAACACAACGGTTTACTGACGACTGACTCATGGACATCCCCATTGCAAAAAATCGCGAGGCGGGTAGAACCTTTAAACATTATAATAGCGTTAAGACTAAAAAAAATATTGAAAATATATATTATTAGCTGTTTCTCCGTAGACAATGCTTTTATTCTTCTTCCTTTTAGTTGATAATTTTGTCAGAAACGATTTCTTCAACTAAATCCGGCGAAACTCGGTAGCATCCAAATGAAAAGGATCTTCCGCTTCTCGACGCAAGCTTCTATCCGATGGGTAGGATACCTCTTCATCTTGTGATAAATCCTATGCCAAATATTCAAAAGCCATTTATTTTATTATTTTATTTTTATTTTTGTATAATTTAGACAATTTCCCGGACACTTTTCTCTTATATGAAATAACAAAATTTTGTCGATATCGCTTTTTCGCGATTTTTCGAGTAGTTTACGACAACAGCGAGAGCGAATATCGTTAAAACAAGTACACCGAATATTAAAATCGTTAGAATTATCGCAAAAACTTCTTTGCGATCCGAAAATCGTTATACTAGTCTTAAAGAATAGCGAATATCGTTAAAAATATCGTTAAGTCTTCTTTGCGATCCGAAAATCGTTATACCATTTTAGAGAATAGCGATTATCGTTAAAAATATCGTTAAGTCTTCTTTGCGATCCGAAAATCGTTATACCATTTTAGAGAATAGCGATTATCGTTAAAAATATGCTAAGTCTAATTTGCGATCCGAAAATCGTTATACTGTGCTTAGAAATAGTAAAATCGTTAAAAATATCGTTAAGTCATTATAACGATCCGAAAATCGTTATAATACGATAGAGAATTGCCCTACTGGTGTTTCAACCTCTACTTTATTTACTTTGTAGGATGGTCTGGATATGAGTGCCGCCGTTTCAAGTGTTTGTGCATACGCAACAGTTTTAGCGAATGTCAACTTAGGATTCGCATATGTCTCTCACTTGGTGTACACGTGTACACGCTTCCTGTGCAGCCATCATTTCAGACATATTTTGTGAGATCGCAGTCAATAGCATGCTTAGATAAGCCAGGAGCCTTTTCTTGAATCTTACTTCATGGTGATTCCAACTTCTTACCAGAATTATCAGCATCTTCCTTGTTAATGTCTTTCAAGGATACATCTTCATCTTCGCGATGGAACTCGTACTGGTTCAAGTCGATGCCTTCAACTTCCATTGCTTCTCGCAGTCTCGATTGCANCTTGGCAGCTGAGTGTCGCCCTTATATAGCAGTCGGCTGCTTGTAGACGAAAGTGTAGAATACTCGAGTTGTTCGCTATCGAAGGTTCTCGTTTTATCGTTTCTAGAATGTACTAGTTATCGGCTTCTCTCTTTCATCTGACATTCGCCTCGCATTTTCGCAGCAATAGCTTGTTACTACTTCTCTAACTACAAACCCACGTACATACGCATCAAATTTTGCTACCAAAGGCAGGGCTATGGTTATTTTTTTGATCGAAGTCCGCCAAAATGTTAGTTTATGATGTTATTGAAACAACATTATTTTACATTTTTTCTACTAATTTATTTCAATTTCATATTTCAATTTCTTCGAAACTTGACGAATTCAATGGGCTGTACAGATTTTCAGCAAAATTTAGGAATTGCTTAAATGGATCAAGATTATAATTTTTATAATATTTTATAAACGTGTATTTTGCCAGGTTTTTTTTTTTGTTTCGGTGGTACAGTAGGAATGGAAAATTTGACATGTCCCCACAATGTCCCTATTTTTTAATAACACATTCGTGGTACAAAACTTCTCTGCAGAAATTATTCCAGTCGATCGCTGTACGTCGGCTGCATAGTTCAGCCTCTGCAATAATGTCGTCCTGACTCATATTTTTTGACCAAATGAAGGCAATTACTTTAATTTGTAAGATTGTCAATTTCAATTTTCCGATCCGGATCCTAATAAAACTTTCATATTGTATGAAGTATTCTTCTTTGAAATTTTTTTACGGCATCTACACACAAAAGTAAGAATATCAGTTTATATAAATTTCATTTAGTTAATTTTTTAACGCCATACAGATCTATCAAATGCGTCGTCGCATTTCTACATCTTTAGAGGGTATCCATTAGGGCATATATATGATCCTTCGGCAGGAATCAAATACCAACAAATAAGCTGCTTTATAAGGTGCTGGTGTAAATGGGTGTAGTCAAGCTTCTGGGTATGCGGTTACAGCTGCGAGGTTATACTCAATTCCTACTCTTGCGTCGAAGTCGCGCACCCTGGAAACGTGAGCTTGAAGCAAGCGGCTCGCTATAAAAATGTGTAAAAAAAAACTTTAAACTTACTCGCCTAGCGAAGTTGTGCGCTGGGTTTGGGACCCGCCACTTAGAAACCGGCTCCAATGAAAAATTTGACAACGCCTCGGATGAGCAAACGAATTAAGGATTACGATTTGGGGGTATGCACCTGGAATGTCCGGTCCCTTAATTGGGAAGGTGCCACACAGGTGGCTGATGTCCTCGTAAGAATAAAGGCCGACATCAAAGCCGTCCAAGAAGTGCGATGGACGGGACAAGGACGAAAGCGAGTAAGTTTAGCGACATCTACTACAGTGGCCATATAAAGGAGCGCAAATCATATCGAACATGTTGTGATAGACAAGGAAAGTTCGGCGTTGAAAAGCTGCAATCACAACTCCTGCTCTCTGAGAGCACTCATCAGGAGCTCGGTATACGGGAACTGTAGGACGGCATTTCAAGCTTCCTACGTACAGCTGCAAACGAACGGTCACAAAAACAACTGGTGTGATGAGGACTGTCGCGTCGCAGTAGAGGGAAAACAGACTGCCAACCTCGATCGACCACAAAACGTGCGGGATGGGATAGATACCGAGAGATGAAGCAGACCCCACAGTCTGCGCCAATTACCGTGGGATAAGCCCCCTTAATATCGCCTATAAGGTTCTGTCCAGCGTGTTGTGTGAAATACTGAAGCCCACCGTCAACAAACTGATTGGATCTCATCAGTGCGGCTTCAGACCTGGTAAGTCAAAAATTGACCAGATATTCACCATGCGAAAAAACTTGGAAAAGACCCGTGAAAAGAGGATCGACACCCACCGCCGATTTTAAAACCGCCTTCGACAGCACGAAAAGGAGCTGCCTTTATACCGCTATGTCTGAATTTGGTATCCCCGCAAAACTTATACGGCTGTTTAAGCTAACGCTAGGCAACACCAGAAGCGCAGTCAGAATTGGGAATGACCTCTCCGAGCCGTTCGATATCAAACGAAGTTTCAGACAGAGTGACTCTTTGTCGTGCGATTTCTTCAATTTGATTATGGAGATAATAATATGAGCTGCAGCGCTCAATAGAGAAGGTACAATCTTCTATAAGAGTGTACAATTACTGGCGTAC